CGCTCCAGTAGCAGGATGCCTCGCCTCATTTGTGCGCACACAGCGCGGCGATATCTCTACAGCTCACCAGGATTCCTCTGCCATCCTGCAGTTCATAAAACACAGAGCGACAGGCCCAGTCAGAGGACAGCACGAACCAGACGGCTCTGATGCTGTAGATTAAACTCACGTCAAGCTGCATTCTCTGGCCCACTCCTCTCCACGCTGACAGCAGATGGCCTGCAGGGTAGCGTGTCAGCAGGGCACCCACTGCTGTGAGAAAATGCAATTATCTGCAAAAGGCAGACAATAATATTCAACACGGTTGGGTTGGTTGCCACAGTGCAGTGATTCACAGCAAGTACACTTGGATTGACTGTCATGATAATGTGGCTGAATTTAATCAATTCAAATGATGTGCTTTGAGGATTATTCCATCTCATATGCATGGTTATATCATAATTAAAAGTTCTTATAAATATACCACTCTCCTGCAGGAGGCTTAGCCGGTCCAGGTTGTTTCTATATTTGGTCGTTATAATTCCTATGTAGAGCGAGGGGGGCTGTCCCAATCACGCAGCAGTGTCTGCAAAACAGAAACAAGTCAATGTGCCTCACACTCAGACAAGCCATGTCATATTTTCCACAGATAAAAGTAGCGGGCCAGGCACTTGGCTCGCAGCTCGGACTGCCAGGCCATCTGCCGTGTCATTCCACATATTCCCTCTTTCATGTGATGCTTGGGAAGCAAGTCATCCAATGTTTCCATTTACTTGACGCTAGTGCTTATCTCCACATGCCTACTTCCCTGCCATTATACAGCACTACCCATGATGCCGCTGTATATCCTCTTACCTTATTAACCACGTTCTGGGGTTGACAAGGATCACGGCAGAAATGAGCATCACAACCTCTCCATGCTCATTCATTACTCTGAGGCAAATTCATGTAACGGATTTAACAGGATTTAACAGCAAGAAGAGTGACCCTACTGGAATACCAAAAGTGTGACTGAGTGTGTGTGGTGAAGGGGCTTTACACTCTGAATCTATGGAAACACATGATTTGACATCAGTGAAGGGGGGAAAAGATAGAGAGAGAATGGAATCGAGGTGTTTGCAGAGAGAAAAGGCTGCAGAATTAGGAGATTAAAGAAGCTGCAGGATTAGGCCCCAGGTTTTAATGATGGAAATGGAAAAGCTGTGAACACATTCTCTCAGGCCCTCCTCTCTTCCTCACTGCCTCTCTTCAGAGCATGTGTCTCCTGCTGATGCATGTACGGCCTCCGGGGAGAGAGAGCAATGCTCTGTATTACTGTAAATATCATACATTTGTTTATGGACAATTTGTGTGCAAGCACATGTTTCCTAAAGCTACACAGCCAGCCTGGAAAACTATAATGAGGATTGGCTTTCACATATTCCAGGTGCGAGTTGCATTTTCAAAGCTTTTGACAATGCAATTTCCCATGCACACATTTAGGGCCTTACACACACTTAGACATTTCAACTCAAACACTGTATATAATAATAATAATTATACATAAGATTTGTATAGTATCTTATTAGAATACCTTTCCTAATGCTCAAAGACGCTTAATAGAGAAATAATTTGAAAAAAGCACTCTAAGTTTAAATAATCAGTTTGACATCTAGAAGCATTGGTAGTTACTAGGAACATGTAGAATTCGATTACAAAGGAATTGTTGAACTTTATCGTTTGAATCATCATTGCACCTTCACATGATGTATGTGGCTAGATGTCAAGTAAAATGTGTTTTGTTGTCAGTCAACCATTTTCAAAAGAAGATAAATGGGACTGTGCATTCTGATATATTTCAGGTGTGGGAATTGTTCTTACTTGGATTGTTGCATTACATACATTATTACATTAATCGGTTTTGACAGAGAATCGAACTGATGTAAATGCACTTTTTCATCAAACAACCCCAATACGTTTAACTTAAAACCGTCTTGTTTAGAATCACCACTAAGCATAATGATGACAAAGCAGCTGGTCACACCAAACCACTTAATAAAACTGCCGGCTGCTACATTTTTACACCAGTGTGTGTGAACCTGCAAGTGTGTTAGACAGCTTGACTGCCCGCTCTGCATTTATTTTGGGCGTAATAATTAGGTCTCAGTCCTCTTATCTCCCCTAAGCAATATTCCATTAGCACATACGTACCTCCTGCATACAAAGTTTATCTTCAAGTGTGAAACTCTTTCTGACTGCTGAAACCCTGAAATATCCCAAGACCCTCACTGCAGCACTGTATTTCACAAGGATCACTTTCAGCTGAGCTTTAATTGTCAGGAGGCCCGTCAGTACTGGAGATAACTCGTGGCCCCGAGAAATTAGATGCTAATGTATTTCTGGCCATTCGAAATAAATCTGCAAGGAGCTCTTTCATGCAAATGAAAGACGCCCTATGTGTCAGCAGAAAAGCGAAATCAGATAAAGTCAAGGAGAGAAGATGGAAAACCGTGCCCAGGAAGTTTGTGGAAGGGTTTCGTTTGACATCCGATGCTTGCCAAAGGCTACTCTGGTCAATACCTGGAAACAAAGGAGAGGTTTCACAGTGACAGCCTTACATTTTTCTTCAAGGAGTTATGTATTTAATCAGATGCTGTTTCAATGAGTGACACTGAAAATGATTTGTTCAAAGTCCTGGCCTTGGATCGTTCATAGGGGGAAGGGATTGATTTAGGTTTTATCGTCTTTGCCCTGGGTGCCAATCAAGTGGAAACTTTAGGAAATGACTTTAAAGACCGACCTCACGGTTAGCTTCACATCTGTCCGGTGATAATCACCACTGCTACAATTGGTAGGTTTGATCTTTCAGGTTTAAATATTCTGTCAAATAATGTTTTTTCTGTCAGTCCTGCTCCCACAAGACTGCTCTACCTCTTCATTTCAAAGCACAAGTATTCCCTTTGTTGAACGGCTCAGCCTATCAACTTCAGAGATAAAATCCTCACAGTGCATCCATAATAAGTCAAAAGGCCAGCTTCAGGGGATTGTACCAAAAAAGACAAAGGGTGAAAGAGAATTGAGAAGTGTAAGGATGCCTATGGAGTGGCCAAAATGCAACTCAAGAGGCGCGAGTACTTTTCCGTATTTAGTGCCGGCACTCAGTGCCCCGGCACTTATTACCCCAGGGCATTTAGTACAGATCGCGTTCACACCGGAGTACTTTTTCCTGAGGGAAGATTACGCAAATGAGCCGCTGACGTCACTTCGTCTTCTTCTGCTTTGGGTTTACTGGCAGGCCGCAAACAACTTCACGGCGTATACTGCCACCCGGAGTCCCCGGCCGGAAGTCCCCGGAGTTGGGGACTGGCTTCAGTAGAAGCTGCTGGGAGTACCTTCCGAGTAAATCGCCAGAACGCCGACACCTCCTCATCTCCACCGCTCCCATGTTTTATTTTGTGTTGCCATAAGTTAGTCTCTCTGCGTTTGTGCACTGGGCGAATGCTAATGCTAATAATGCTAATGCCAGGATAATAAAATGGCGGCTCTACAAAACATTTCAGAGTTGTACGGGGCGTGGTTTGCAATTCGCCCAGCCAATCAGAACTGGGGCACTTTTTTCCCCCAGGAAAGTACCATCTCTCAGCAGGCACTAAAAATGGGGGTAAAAGTTCCCGAGATTCAGTGCTCTTTTTGGTGTGAACGCGACATAAGGGGTACTAACGGAACTAAACGCGAAAAGTACGGTGAAAAGTACTCCGGTGTGAACGCGGCTAAGGACTGGTTTTGGACAGAGGTGAGTGTTTTGTCTGACACAACTCCATCACAGCAGACTGCGCAGTCTCTGCCAGAGTAAACAGGAATTTTAAGTCGGGAAGACTTGTTGTTCCAATCCTCTACATGCAGCCTGACTCAGACGCTCTGACGAAACTCCTCCGAGCCCGGGAGCCCGGCCAGCGCTCCGTCTCTGTCCAAGCCCATGCTGAAAGATGAGAAATATGAGAAAAGTAGCTGATGAGACAATACTCTCTAATGAGCTGTGAAGAAGAATCTTTTCTATGGATTTCTCCGCAATCGCCAGCCAGTTGGAGACGATGGAGAGATGACGGTGTGAAATGTTTCAGCAAAGCCTGACTGGACAGTATTAAATTGTTGCTATAGTGCCGTTTGTATGAGGAGACGCCTGCTGTTTAGACACTCTTTGGGACTGTGACAAACCCTAATCTGTTGTTAATCCTCTTCCCAGGGCACGGGGATATCTATATTGCTTCTTAGTGGTTAGAGTGCTTGATAAAACTATTCTATTTGCCTGATGTTTAATGAGATAACACTTCGCTGTCAGCCAACACTTTGGGATTATATGTTTTAACCTCAATGTTAACCCCATTGACACGGAGGGCAGCTGCATCAAGCCGAAGGCAGAGTGCTGATGGAAAGCTCTAAAAAGAAAAGACAACATAATTAGGACGTCCAACCAGAGACGCTGTGGGCGTTCAGCAGGCAGAGCAGCAGATTTGACTTTGGTAGCTCAGGTTAAATTAAACAGAGAAAATAAAATGAACAGAATCCACACAATATAATAGTATTTAAGGCTGCATTCAATAAGTCAAAAGGTCTGTATCATATGTGTTGCTCTCTGGAGGGAAACGGCAATGTTTTATTTAATTGTGACTTATTCTATATATACCCTAATGAGGACTAGAACCAACACACATACACACACCTGGTGTTCCATTAGTGATGCTGCATGAACTGCATTTTGTGCAGAGTAGATAGAGGAACAAATGACTACATGTGCGCTGGCTCATGTAGTCATTATTGTCATTATTATTCCACATGCTGGTCGTCTGTAATTACACACTCCGGCACATCGCGTTCCCTCTACAATCTTTCCATGCTGGTTTGAAGATAATGTAATCACAAAATGAACCAAACTGCACAGCTTTTGAATTGCAGGCAGAGAGGAGAAGAACGTCTTTGAAGCTGTACGGTTAATATTGATGAGGTGAGATATTTTAGAAGATTAGCACAAGGGGTTTCACTTCTTTCTTTTATTTTGCATCAGCAAGGTCAACAGCCTAAAATGCATTTCACACTTAGCTTACATTTTCCAGCTGCTTGATCAGTGGATACAGTAGAGAGAGCAGGGCAGACTTCTCTAATTACAGACATTACATACCATTCTTTGAGTGAGCATAAATAAAAAGGTTCTCCAAATGGCTGTGTGAAACAAAGATGTGTGACTACACATTTCTATAGGGATGTTGCTTTCTATGATGGGAAAAGACAAATGTCACTGTTTAATGGTGTATGTGTTCGAGCTCAGTCTAAGCACTAAACTTAATCAGACAATTCACTTCTGTTGTCATGCAAAAGCTAATACATTTAAAGGTTTGAGTAAACTTTCGGAGCAAAAGGAATGTAAATCTTGAGTCCACCGCTCACAACATTGTTATAAAATCTTCGTCAAGTTTGTTGTTGCTGCAGCACTATGCGTTGTACTTCTTGAGCAAGTCACTCTGCCAGTGCCTCTTGCGATCCGGGAACTGTCTGGGCAAGCGGATCTTCTTGAAGTCATCGATGCATCTCTTCAGATCGTCCTCCAGCATCTTCCTCTCGTCCTCCTCTTCATCCATCGCCGGCGGGGGGCCACCGTTCTCCCTGATGGAGAGCCGTGGCAGGGTCTTTAGGTTAAGGTTGACGGGATGGGGGGGGCTCTCAGCTGGAGGCAGTGTTGAGGGACGGGAGGTAGAAAAAGGTTTGGATGAGAGCAGAGGTGAAGACAGGAAGGGAGGTGGCAGAGGTGAAAGGTCGGGGCTGTCTAGAGGAGGAGGAGGAGGAGGAAGAGGAGGGGTCAGAGGAGGGGCTGGGCCCGGGGGCTGAGGGTTTCGTAAGTCCAGAGTTAGGATGCCCCTTTTTTCTGGAAGGCTTGTGGTCCAGGCAGTGCTGCTGGGCTCCGCTGTGGCAGATTGGGTGGGATCAGGTTTAGAGGTCGCCGCTTCGGAGAGAGCTGAGGGGTCAAAGGTCGTCTTCTTGGAACTAACTGATGAACCACCTGCAGCAGGAAGAGAGAATAACAGATTAATTTGTATGAATTTTTCATTTTCAAGTAACAATAACACGTCTTTTTGAAAAAAAAGAAATTTCTTGAAGAGATCTACATGAGAATATCCAACCCAGTCTCACGGCATTTCGTGTCACAACATTTAATCTATTGATTCGTGTTCACCAACACGATTTTCCCCTTTTTTTCGTGTCACACAGAACGATTTTAAAAGCAATGTATTTCTATTGGTAGTATGTTTCGTGCCTGCACCACGTCTTTTTGTCCGGTCGGTCTTGGAAGACCGGAAGCTGTGGGGTTCATAAAAACATGTTCTTACTCCATATCAAGCCACGATTACTGTTTTTATTTTAAATCGTATAATGTCTGACTTTTTTTTGCCGTCCTTGAGGAAAATAAATGGGGCTCAGAGCCTCAGAATACTGAAATCTGTATTTTTTAAATCTTTTTTTCCTTCTAATTTGTTATTCTTTTCTAAATAACACACTGTTATTTGCTCAACAATAACACACAATTATCCTGGTTTTTATTTATTTGTTTAATTTAATTTAATCGTTTATTTGAAGAGGGACAGTGCACATTGATGAACATTTAAAACAAATAATGCTTTAAAAACGTAAACATGCCGGATTTTAGCTTTGAGCTAGTTTCCATCCGTAGTCCCTCACATACAACATTTAAGAACATGACATTTATATACATAGCAAAATAAATACATGATATGCAGAAAGAGCATGAGCAGCATACAAGCCACAAGGCAGTACAATGTAGCAGCTACGACATGTAAAGTACAAGAGAAGATAAAAGTGCTACATCAAGTGCAAGAGGAGATGCCCCTGTATTAAAGTGCATTTAGCGGTGATTGCACGTTTGTTTGTTTCTTAACCATTCTTTTAGTTGTCTTTTAAAACTATTGAGAGTGGGACAATCCTGTAACTCAGTTGGGAGGCTATTCCACAATGAGCTGCCTTTAATGGAGAGGACATTTTGACTGAAAGTGGTCCGTCTGTGGTGGACCTCACAGTCTCCTCTGGTTTCTGACCTAGTGCAGCGTCCAGTGTGCTTTTTGTGGATGAATTCCCCTAAGGGAGGGGGGGGGGGGGCAGTCCATGTAAACATTTATAAAAAAAACACATACTTTTAAAAGACTTAAAATTGTCCAAACTCAAGAAATTGTGTTTTTCAAGGATGGTACAGTGGTGGTATGAATTAGGCTTTCTGTCAAACACCTTGATAGCTCTCTTGTACAGCTGTTCTATGGGTTTCAGGTTTGTGGCACAAGCAAACGACCAGTTTGTGAAACAGTATTCAATGTGGGATAGAATCATACAGTGGAGGTATGACTTTGCAGCATTGTTAAGAAAGGTCTAATTTGTTTAAAATGTTGCAAGTTGAATTTAATGGTATTGGATACTTTCTTAATATGTTTCTTAAAAGTCAAGTTTGAGTCCAATATGACTCCAAGATGCTTAAAGTGGGGGACTAGTTCTAATTCTGCTCCGTTTAAAAACATATTGGATCCTTCCATTTTGACTGGTCGTTTACTGAACATCATGCATACTGTTTTTTTTACATTTAACTGTAAGCAAATGTTGTTCAGCCAGTGTTGAACCTTGTCCAAAGCATTAGAGAGACAAGATGAGATCATTTCAGTGGTTTTGCCATGTACAAAGATGACCGCATCATCGGCATACATTTGCACATTCAACTCAGGACATACATTAGGCTAGTCATTAATGTACAGAGAAAACAGTAATGGTCCAAGAATGGAACCTTGTGGAACCCCAACAGGGTGGCCTTATCCCCAGATTTAAAGATCGGTGTCACCGTGGCCACCTTCCAGGATGATGGAACCTCCCTTGTGCTGATAGATTGATTCACTAGCATGGTAATTAGTATTATTAGACCGTCAATATGTGTCTTTATGAAGTTGGTGTCTAAATCATCTGCATCCCTAGCCTTAGAACCTCTTAACCCTGAGATTATATTTTTTACCTCCACCTCTGTGATTTCCTCCAGGTCAAAAACGGGGTGTGTACCACAATCGGGCTAGGTGAGACCTCAGATGGCGGGAAGAGCTTTGTAATATCCAGAGCACTATTTATGAAATACTCATTGAGAGAGTTGGCCAATACAGCAGGGTCTTTTATCAGGGCATCATTGATTTTTAATTCCAGAACATTATTTTCCTGTTTTGTATGTTTACCTAATAGTTTATTTATTTGTTTGTTTACCTAATAGATTTGCCAAACTTTTTTACCGTTACCTTTCGCACCTTCAATTATATTGATGAAGAAGTTCGCTTTGGCCTGTCTTATTGTTTGTGTTACCTTGTTACGAGCATGAGTGAATTTCTGTCTGTCAGTGGATAGTCCGGATTTCAAGCTCTGCTTTAATAGTTGGTCTCTAGATTTCATGAGATTCCTGCATTGTAGATTCAGCCAGGGAAGATGATGTTCCTTCCTATCCCTAAGGCACCCTCTCCTTGAGAAGGAAGACATTGTATCATTAATTTTAGATATTAGCAGATCACTGTTTTCACCAATATCTTCAGAGGACAGAGTGTCCCCCCAATCAATCATTTTCACTGCATCCATAACACGTTGTTGCAGATTTTTGGGGATGAAGCGAGAACCCAAGGCAAGGGTTTTAGGTGTGGCCATGAACCTTTTTTTTGTGAGTTTCCTGTTAAAAAGAATGAAATTATGGTCAGAAAGACCAGTCAGGAAGTTGTAGGTTTTAACTATTCTGTCAGCTTTGTTAGTAAATAATAAATCTGTCATAGTCTTGGAGGTTTTAGTTATTCTAGTCGGTTGATCCATTAGTTGTATTAAGTTGTATTTATCCGTGATCCGTTGTAAGTTCTTTCTATTTTGTTTGTCATTCCAGTTTATGTTAAAGTCTCCTAAAATGATTAGCTCTTTGTTGGAGTCACAGGAATTCAGCAAGAGTTTTACCTGATCATAGAAATCCACCTTAGCGGTGGGTTGTCGATATAGGCAAATCATGGTGAGGGACATTTCCTCAGAAAGTGTGATTTCCACACCAACACAATCAAACTCAACATTAGCTGGAAGAACAATCTCCCTACAAATAATGGTATTCCTCACATAAAGCAACACACCCCCTCCTTTTCCCTTCAGTGTGTCCTTCCTAAACACATTATATCCTGACATAGATACAATAGTGGATGGTGAAGACTGTTTTAGACAAGATTCTGATATTCCCAAACAGTCAATATTGGACTCAAGGAGGAGATGTTCTAACTGTTCATGTTTATTGCAAATGCTGCGGAAATTTAAATGTCCACTGAATAGTCCCTTTGGCTTGCACCGAGGATCCCACACTATTTTGGCTTGATTCACTGTTTGAAACATTTTTGTGTAACAGTGTTGATAGTGGAGCAGACAGAGCTAGCTGTTGGTTTGTGGTTCTCTGTTGCTAGGCTGCTAGCAATCGGCGCGGACCCACAGTTCTCCGGCAGAGCTAGCTGTTCAGCTAGCTTGCCTCGTCTGAAGCCAGCCGGCACATCCCTTTCAAGATTTCTAAGGTTTATTGACATATTATACACAGCTACGGTGTAGTTATGCAATGATGAAAAACTTGGGTCGCAGGTTCCTCAACAGTGCATTACAAGACATCTATCAATATGTGTGTATAACTCCACCATTAAACTGTCATATTCTGCACATTTCTTATACTATCTACATACATAAGAGTATAATTCATATGTATAATATCAGTTAAAATAAGTGCTTCAACATATAGTTAACATTGCAGGAAAGCAATATATTAGACGTTAAGTACTTTGTCAGGCTTAATATTTATCTGTAGATACCCCAAAGCTTTTTTCTTATTTAAAAGAAGACCTTAACCTAAAGTATTCTTTAATGTTTAAATAAAGGTTAATTCGTTTTTCTGTTTTGCACATCCTCCTGTTAATATCTTTGTACATCCGACACCAAACTGTTTTATTGTAGAGATCACTTACAGTATCTTCTTGATATTTCATATTCTATATTTCTATCATTGACCTTCTACTTTCCCCCTATTTTGTATGTACTCTTAATATTTTTTTCATCAAATATAACATATTCAACAAAATAATTCAATAACGTGCTTTAACCACTAGGCGGTGCGGGTTAAAACACTTTGAAGTTTAAAGTGTTAACACAACAAATTATACTTTGTATTATTAGTGTAGGACACTTATGTATGTATAACATCTGAAGATGTGTAGTTTTATTCATGTTTTCACATCATTTTACAGGATATTGCTATATTATTTGACATGTTTTACTTCTACACATTAATATCTGATTTGTAAAACATCACAGACAGAAAGGTATATCCGTCATTTAATGGTAAGCTATTGCAATTCTGATTCCATAGATGTGTCTCCCAGCAGCCAAAACCCCTGACTATTCTCTCAACTCAGTATTTACATTCTTTAATTCAAAGAAAATCAATAATATCTTTAAAAACTCCAAGTCCCTGTCAATCAGTTGTGCACTGCTACCTATCTACCAATTGGATCAAATATAACAGTCAGCCGAATTAGTATTGATACTGCAAGGAGACGTATTGTGTGAAGAGAAATTGAAGATGTTATTTAATTGCTGATATATTTATGATCCACGTCACGTATTCAGTTTCGGTGGCAGTTCTTCCAGTTTGTCTAGAAGTCTTCTCATCAGGGCTCTATAAATAAATAACTACGGCAGATGTGTAATATTTAATGCAGCCGAACCGTGTATTACAATGCCGCTATGTGATGACTTCCATAGAGAAAAGTGAGCACACTCGGAATAAAGTATTACTTTTAAAAAAAATGTTTTCAGATTTCACATCGCATAAACACCATATCCCAACGTGCATTGCGGCTAAAACATCCAATCACCGAGCTTCAACCATAGCTGAGGATCTTGGATAATCAGTTCAGTGGGGGTGTATCGCCTACGTCTGTTTCCGGCAAAAAAGCCCGATGTTATAGAATTAACCAAATAAATAAAAACAAGGATAATTGTGTGTTATTGTTGAGTAAATAACAGTGTGTTATTTAGAAAAGAATAACAAATTAGAAGGAAAAAAAGATTTAAAAAAATACTAGCTTAGCATAAAACTGGAAGGAGTAGGAAACAGGAAGCCTGGTTGTGTGTTAACAATTAAACTATTTCCTCACTGAACAGCCGGTCACAGTAACTGCCTGCAGTGTTGTTGTCACTGTGACGACAATCAATAGACACTGCACAGTTGCTAAAAATGGTGCTAGCATGTTACTCTGCTCAAAAAGAAATGTTTTCTTGGTTATATAATATATAGTTTAGTTTGTAAGCTTTAAAGTTGCTGGTAATTATTACTACAGTCAGATCTGTTTTCCTCCTTCCCTATATTGGTGCAAAGCTAAGTGAAGGGTACATTGAATATTCATATACTCAGGTAGCTGGTCTGTTTGAACTACGGTCTTAACCAACAATGGAACTTCGCTCAGAAATTCACTTTTTTTGGTTTGCCTTATCAAAGTGTGTCAGTGTTGTGCGCCTGGCACAGAAACAAGCACTTCAGCTTTGAGCTTTCAGTTTTCGCCTCCTAGAGAACAAAAGTAAACACATGCTGGCACAAGAGCGTGTAGGAGCATTATGCAAACACAAATAAGCGGAGTTCAGCAGGAGAGGAAAGGGAATGAGAGATAAAGAGAGTGAAGGATGTTTTGATTTAATTTCAGAATTTCCTTTTACCTTTGCCTGTGTTTACATTATCGTAGCGGGAGACTGTGGCAGAAGGGATGGCGTAAAACCTCCTTACTGAAGCTTGACAAGCCATTTTTCACGGTATGTTGATTTTTCATCTCATCTCTGTGAGGACAGAGCAGGTTTCTGTGGTGCGACTTCTCAGAATAGTTGGAGTGGCACATGCACATTCTGCACCTCTTGGTATTTGAAAACCCATCAACCATTTCAAATTGCTTCCTCTCTTTACAAACGCCCTTTTTTTCTCTCTCTCTCTTTCATTGACTTTCACTGATTAGATGAGGAAATCACAGCAAACATAGCCCATGTCCAGACTAAAGCAGATACATCACAGAAAAATGTATCTTATATGCGCGAAAATAGCCTTCTATTTCTCTACTCATTCAAAATTGCATCTTTCGTGTTGATTGGCAAAACATCCAAAATCTGAATGTAAGGTGTGCTGGTTATGTGGTTATGCTTTTCTTGTCATGTCATTGATTTAAAAAAATGTAGGCTTCTTTCATTTCTTCAAGCAAGTAAACATTTAAAAAAACCTCTGGAGGAAATACTGCAAAGCTTCAGTTCTGCAAAAGCCAAAAAGAAGAGATCAGAGCCTTTTCTTGTTGTTTTGGTATTTCAAAGTGGATGCTAAACTTTCAGAATACAACCAGAAAATGCCCTGTGGAAAGAAAAAAAACCTAAACGTTTTTTAATTTACCCACTTGAGTTTGGACATAGTCTTACACCAAGTTACTGTAATGACAATCCTACATGTACACTGCTCATGCACTGCATCGTCTTACAGTCACACATGCTCACTGTCACTGTGAAGCGGCCACATGCAGTACATTTATGCAAATACATAAGAACTGCTAATCTCTCCCCCAGCCTCACATACATGCTCATGCAGAGATATGCTGGCACAATATGCCACCCACAACCCAAACATCCGCACACAAATGTACAGACATACAAAGACGCAAAAGGCCCTGCGCACTCTCCTTTAACAAGGCTCATCGTCACGGTAACTCGCCTTATATAACAGGAAAAGCTGCTTGTGTCAAACGGAGGCGGCACAGCATATTCTCCTACTGCCTTAGCTGCTTGAATACCTGAATACTAGAGTGTGTGTGTGTGTGTGTGTGTGTGTGTGTGTGTGTGTGTGTGTGTGTGTGTGTGTGTGTGTGTGTGTGTGTGTGTGTGTGTGTGTGTGTGTGTGTGTGTGTGTGTTTGTGCATGCATGCATTAGCCCATGTGTGCATACTGTGGATGTAGGTGAGGGGGTTTACATGTTTGTTTGTTTGTTTGTTTGTTTGTTTGTTTGTGTGTGTGCGGGCAGATGTGTGTGTTTGTGTTTGTGTGTTATATTCAAGGCATGTACTGGCATTTGAAAAGAAGGACAAATAAAGACGAGTGAAAGAAAGAAGATGTGGGGGAAGGAGGGGTCTGCAGGAACATGTTCACCACTGTGTGTTTGTGTTCGGTGCATTCAATGTCTCTCATAATGAATACATGTGTTTGAGGGCCGCCCGGACGTGGGAGTACGGGGGCTTAGCACTGTTGAAGGAATAATCCACTGGGGGATGGGCTCCATGCTTTCCTCCAACACTAAGCCTTATGGAGGAGAACAGCGAAAGAGAGCACTCAACCCCTTTCCCCGGGCCACTTCTCCAGGGATATATGCAAAAAGCCAAAGCACTTTCTCACACATCCCTCTCTGCCGCTCTGCCTCTCTCTCCCAGTCTCTCCCATCTGTTCAGTGTGACACATCCCTGCGTTGCCATCATTACTGCTAATAGCAACTCTAATGTGTCACTGTTGCCAGGGTTTAGCACCTCTCCGTCACAAATTGTCTCCTCTACGGTGTATAATGTTGTTAGTTCACCCCACCTGAATCTTAATGCTTTACACCAAGCACACTGTATGTTTGTAGTGTGACTAAAGGAAATCATGACAAGATTTGGAATAGACACCACATTAAAGGTGGAAGATAGAATAATCATCAAAACCTGATGTAAACAAGCAGCAGTTCATTCATATTTAAGTCAAACTGGAATAAAAAAAAATGTTTGCTGATATATCTTGGTGTTTGCTTTATCTTGTGTCCTTTTCTGGGAAAATTGCCACTACCAAATAAGATATAACTCTTAGATATGTGCGGTGATTGTGTCCCATGTCCTAATATGGTGCAAAATGACAATGTTTGTACCCGTAATTAGATTGTATCTGTGTGAAAGAACACTAAAACCGTTTGTGTGGTCGGACACTTCCAATGTTACTCTGTTTAAATCATGTGGGAGGACAACCATGATATGTCACCCATGTGCATCACTTTTTAGTGTAATTCTAAATGTTGTGATGCTCAGGGCTGTGTTCAAAATTGCATATTAATGTAATTTACTAATGTAAAGTATGCCATTATCAACAGACTTTTCACACTTAAAGGTGGGGTAGGTAAGTTTGAGAAGCCGGCTCGAGATACACTTTTTGTTATATTCCATGGAATGCTCTTAACATCCCGATAGCAATGAATATCTTAAGTGCTTTGACAAAAAATCCATAAAAAAATGTCATCTGTGGAAGCCGTAGTACTGTAAAAAGCCGGCCCGGCTAAAATAACTGGATGGCCTACCTGCCTGTCAGCCTTCCATCTGTGCACAAACTTATCTCGTGCCCTCATTGGTCATGTGCGTGTTCGTGTGTGTTGGAGGAGGGGCTCTGTTAGGAAGTGGCAGATTTTTTCCGGCTGTGTATTTTCAAATTCTAGCGCACTCGAGCCGGTTTCTCAAACTTACCTACCCTACCTTTAAGTATACTCAAGAAAAACAGCCAGCATCATCCAGCCATCAGCTCCCCCCTATGTCTCCTAAAACGCAACAGCAAATAAAACACAGGCTTTATTTGGATAAACTGATCACACATTGGAGCGTACTTCTCACATCCACAAAATACACATATGCAGTGCATGGGAACGCACCATGAACTCAATTTGACATCATATTTAATATACAAAGTATGTCAGTAGGTCTTTCTGAACACAGCCTTTTACTCAGCTCAGGTCATATGAACTTCCTGTAGTTAATGTCGGTCGCCCGGTGAGTGCGACCATAGAGCTAGCTGTTTACAGTCGTTGTGCTGAATATTAAATGCACAAGCAAGAGAGTTGTATCAATGTTCTCCCAGAAAACTCTCAGAAAGAAAGCAAATGTATGTATTTCCTGAGATATTGAAGTCTTTATTTTACAAATGATGGGCCCTTTCAAAGGATCAGTGTTTTTACATAAATAGTGTAAGGTAAAATAAATCAGTTTGACAATCTATAGTAATGTAGGATAAACCTGTTAAAGAAACAGTTGTATCTACTTCTTTTCTAGGAGCAGGTCATTCAGCATGGGTACTTTTTAAAATTCACTGTGGCCACTCACAGGTGTTGTGACCTGGGGATGGGGAGACTGGCAAACAAGAGGACATCCTCATCTCCATGGTAACACCACAATGATGTGCAGGAGCCGGAGCAACACAAATGCATAGTAATTTCTCTCTGGCTTAGAGGACCCTTTTATCCTGAGTGTGAAGTGTTACATATGGCTCTCTCCTGCTGCTCTAAAGGGAGATCATGCTACATAGTTGTGGCAATTACTGCATGTTTTATTCTCTAATGACCTCACATACAGCTAAGAGATCCAACATCTGCTGTGTGAAATGATCAGTAAGGAGCCTAATGATAGGGTCGGCCTCACCACCTACTGTCTTCTCATTCATTGTCTTTTCTCTCTGATTGCCATCAGAGAAAACGCTGGCGTAATCAGACATGGCAACACTGTATTCTTCTGCAGGCACGGTCGTCCATAACAACATCACCGGAGTACTCGCAAGTCTCTAAGCAATTATAAATCTGTCAATCTACATAATGTAGAGGAAATGAGTGACATAAACAGCCGGAGACCGGGGAGATGCTGTCGAGTAAGAAAATCCAAAGAAGGAGGTTTGAGGATAGAAAATGGGAAAGAGAAGTAAGAAACTAAGTAATTAATAAATAACCAGCTGAAAAGGTTTTTTTTCATTCTTTGGGGTGTTGAAAAGTCTTTGATGTGCAGACTAGCACAAATTGCATACGTTCAATCCAAGTGTCCTGCTGATTCGCCGGTTCCACGTGCCTCCTCTTTATCTTCCCCTGCTTTAAACACCCTGAGCTGCTGCCTGCCTAAGCACCCTAAAGCCGAAAGTCCCTCCTGGCACCCCTCAGCCCCTGCAGAGCTGCAGCCCCCCTGACACATGCCTCTCCTCTCCTGCCGGGTTTCAGCCAGGGTCCGTCCCTCTACAGGACTGCAGGACCAAGGACAGCCTGCCTGTCCAGATTACTGATCATTAGAGAGGCAGATTAGGGCCCAAGTGTCCAGATGGCTGAGGTGAATCCCGTCCAAGCAACAGCGCTGACAGACACATTTACAACTCACTGCTTAGAACAAGACTCGTCTGATCAGCAGACACACTTACTGCTCACCGCTCTTTCAAGCTGTTAACACCACAGAAGATAGAGTGTACCGGTTACAATGTTACTATCATTTATAACTAATCTATAAAAAACGTATCATTCCGAAATTATGGATACAAAGTTTAACATGCAAAAAAATATTGTTTTCCTACTAATAGTGATTGATGGCATGCAATAAAAATGTGTCATATTGAAGTAATTTGCCTTCATGAGACATTCATTTGCAAAGAGAACAAGTTTTGTATCAGTTCGAAACAGATTAAGAGACAATTTGTCCCTGGGCACAAATACATAAAAGCAACGAGTTATAAGGTTCAATATTTTAATACAAAAAAACATAAAGTAAACCCATCAATGTACCAACGCTAATTGCCAAATCGTAGGGAATGTATCCCTCATCAAATAAAAACAGAGATAAAAACAGCTTTAAAATATATTAAAAACCATTATAAAGAGGAGGGGGTGAAATAACAACCCTTCAAACAACAAGCAGAAAAACACCAGGTTTAAAAATCCTGGATTGTAAATAATAAATAATTTACAATTTGGCTCACAAAGAACCAAAATCTATTATAAATGTGTGATTTTTCAACCTTAAAACATTTGATCTAACCGTTTACATCCTTTAAAATGTCCGTTGCAGCTGAGTCTAGCAACAGGAAGTCCAACTGTTTGTTCGGTTATTGCACCACTTCCACCTCGCTTCCCCAAATCTGGTATTTGTACCCTATTTGAACTGCTCCTCTTCCTCACATTTCTAACAGTCGCTGTGGTTCTGTCTATGAAGAACTTTGCCTCTTGGATTCTCCTTTGTGTTGCTTTTATTTTGCATCCTACCACTTGCTTGAGAGATATAGTCACAGTTCAAAAGCTGCAGTGCTTTGCACCATAGTGACCTAATCTGCTCCGTCTCAGCTGCTAGATCGTGTCCCTTGTTAACTCCCTCCTCCGCCTGTCTCCCCCCTTGGGTATGGCATCTACCTGACCTTGCATGATAGAGTTTGCGGGCCAATATGTTTTGTTTTTCTCTGCAGCAGAGGTGTGTGAGAAGGAGGAGGAGGAGGAGGAGGAGGAGGAGTGTACCCATGCTGGAGGATAGAGCAGTGCAGTGACGGTACACATCTGACTCCGTGCCTTGCTCACTATAAATAACCCATCACACAATGAGAGAAAGATGCCCCGAGCCAGTGCTACTGTACTGTGAGCATGTGGGCTTACATGGCAGCGTAGGCGAGCCGCGGTGTCGTCAAGGATAAACAAAAACACAACAGGGCTCTAAGCTCACGTACTTGTACATGTGCAAATTAACACAAAGCTTGCAAAGCTCTTCACGTACCATGCACACACACAAGTATGTAACATCTTAATGGAGAAAGCGGTGGTAGGCCTCAGGCTGCGGCTCTCTCTCTCCGGTCGCCCATTACATGCTCCTATTGGCCCGGCGACTCCCAGGTAATTAGCAGCAATGGTGCTTTTCTATACAAGCGTGGACTTCTCCTGTTTATTGCTGTCAGGAGAGCGCTAGGGAAGCAAATGGCTTGTTTGTTTGCTAATGCCTTCTCAACTGATCACAAAGAAGAGTGAAAAGCAGGCAGCCAATTAGATCCAAAAACCTCACAGCTCCGAGTCATTAGTCATCATCTTGCAGCATTTCCGCTGAGTGGGGTATAAAAATATAGACATTTGAGACCCTGAATATATGTTCATATGTGATTTTCTGCAACGAAACGAAACACAATTTACAGCTGTCCCACTCAGTGTACATTGTCTTTCTTTTTTTTTACACTTCACCCCATCTAAAATGTGTTCTTGCATTACCCCTGGGGGAGGAGGATTACACCCATTACAACACAGAACAGCAATTATGATGTTGTCGTCTTCATCAACAGCATACATCTGTCATTTCTTTGTTAATACACTAAAATTACCTCTGGGTGTGTGACACAGATTTACTGGGGAAGGAGGAGTGTGTGTGTGTGTGTGTGTGTGTGTGTGTGTGTGTGTGTGTGTGCGTGCGTGCGTGCGTGCGTGCTTGCGTGCGTGCGTGCGTGCGTGCGTGCGTGCGTGTGTGGACAACTGCCTGCTCAGCAAATGTGTGACACAGGGAGTGCACCTAGTTCATTGCCCCCACGTGGCCCCCATACCGACCCAACACAGACGCCAAAACACTCATCCAGCCTGTCCGCCAAAACATCCACGTAAGCACAAACACCAGGACAAAAAAAGAAAACAGAGCCAAATCATGCTGGCACACAGATCTAAAAGTGATCAAGGCATCAAGGCTGAGAAGACACAAACTATAGCGCAGATCCACAGACGGTTGCAGCTGAATGAGCAGAAACAGCAGCATGATAGCACACGCTCAGATGTTGAGAAAATGACTCATCGTGGTGCTGTTGTCACCTCTGTCACTTGTTTTGTATTCATAAAAGAAGATGCAGTCTGGGAAGCAGGGCTGTTAATAGTCACAGCTCGTGTTTCCTGTAAATATGTGAAAGAAAATCGTGTTTCTTTCATGTAATCGTACTATGAATCAATATTAATCCCGACCGTACTGAGTGATTCTGTGGATCTGTCCGGTGTAACTGAATCTCCCTGTGAGTGTTGACAGAGAGGACAGGCGGCAGAGGAACCCATTACAGCACGGCCCAGTGAGGGCTTTGTTTGTCAGGGACGGTCTCGCACCTCTTCCAATAACAGGACATTTCATGCTGCTCAGGAACAGAGATAAGATGGGAACACCAAATCCTTCCCCGGTTAAATACTCTCAGATTCTCATCTAGCTCCTTCCAGGTTATCTGTCTTACTGTCTCTCTGCTTCCTTGCCCCATTTTTCCAATCCCTTTATTCCTAACGTACATCCGTTCCTTCTCCTCTCTCTTATTTTCTTTCTCCGAATAGGGGAAGTGATGACCCAGCTGGCAACAAGACAAGTGGATCATTCTAAGAGAGGAAAGCGGATCGGGCCAAGGCTGCAGTGACAATGGCACCACAGGAATACAGCATGGGTCAAATCACTTCCTCGAGGTACAGAGAACAGTCTTGTTCTCTCAGGGCAAATTGTCTTTTTGCCTTGTATGGCAAGAAGAGTTAAATAATGAATTGTGCTCGCTCACTTAGAAATGGTATTAAAGTCAAACTGTGTGGTAGGAACACAAGGGTATAAATAAAACTAAATACATGATTTCATTAAGTTGATGTGTGGTGAGCAAATCATGCAATTTGCTAAATCGATTTTTTTCCAAAAGACAGAATATTTAATGTTAAAATATCTTTATTGTGTAACGCTGCATAGAACAGGCATACTACTATAGTGACACAACTATAACTTGCTTTTTGTTTGGTGGACTTCACTTTTGAGTGACAAGTTTCACAACCGAGCTCTAAAACAAGAAGAAATCAAAAAACGAGCAGCATTTCATCTCAGCTCGGCTTGTGGGCGCTGCTGCTGCTCAATGTCGGAGTGTCAACACTTCTCACACATTTACTGTTGAATGTCGAGTCTCAAGGCTACTCATGGAGGTAAAGAATGACACTGATGCCTGAAATTTCACACATGAAGCATGTCTCTCCGTGCTTGTGCTAATGACTGACCTTGGTGCTCTCGTGTGTGTGCTGCAGGACAGAGACTAAAGGGAAGGTTTCTGTTAGTTGAAGACACACTGCAGGCACACGTATCGACTCTCAGGACTCATCATGCATTCCCGACCGCAACAAAAAAGACATCATTCCGGGAAGGCTGCAACATACATTTTTCAATAGTTTTTGTGAAGCTCATCAGCTATGCTTTTATCTAGGCCAGACTGAGATCAGGTTTAGAGGTCTTATACTAAGGTAATCAGCATGTGATAAGCTCTTCGTAAAAAACGGACTCATAGGACAGCCTCACCTACACAAACATGACCCTGGTTGTTGTTTGAGTGCCTCTTCTCTGTCTGTGGGTGTGCTCCATAAAAGAATGAAGCTTTTTCATTAACAGATAATATAAATGTGTAGTCTTTGTATGCAACTATGGTATTTCACTTTTCTGGATTTGTACTGGAATTGGGTCAATTACTTGAAGCAAAATATGGATTTTGTGAGCTGTTTTAAAAGAGGCTGGTATCTATGCATGTCCTAATTTCTATCCTGGCTCTGTTTTCTGGTCAACTGCTCATTGAAAGACCCGGCTGAGAAGAAAAATAGGGGGGAAAATTGGAAAACAGATGGTGGAAGGGAGATGGTGCCTGAGGGGAGAGTGTTGAACATTTAATAAACAGTTTCTATCCATGGACATTTCCTTGACTGCGAAATGGTAAGATGAACATGTAAATTGATTAACTTGGATTGAGTCTGGATTGACACATTTAAACTGCAGTAATGTGGGGAAGTTCTGAACTAAATGTCACTCAGTGCTGAGAAAGCATTCAATCATGAATGAAAGTACAACCCAACTAGAAAGAAAACAACTTTTATTTGACAGATAAATGTTCCTTTTGGCTGAACACTTTTAATTTCAGTGTTGTCTATTCCAGCAGCGACACACTGCAGCAAGTCTAACATATTGACTCAGTTGTCAACAGCACTTCATCACACTGAAACACAACATGGCGGTTTCTAGACATTTTAGAATACATTTATAGTCACTGTCAGACGTACTGCCAATACTACAACATAGCTCAGGAAAAATCCTGCATATCACTGATCAATGGCTGCTTGTCAACTCAAAATTCAACCTATATTTCATGATCTGGTTACAGCAACTACATTTGTTATATTTTCCTAACTTTGTCATCAGCCGCATCTTAAGTGCCTTCAGTTTGTGTGTTTAGTCTGAGGTATATGATGTGCAGACCTGTCCTGAGGCTGTATCTGGAAACAATCGTATTTCTTCACTTGTCATAACTAAAGTTATCCCAGCTGGCTCTAATCTGCCCTCACAATGCCCTTGCTACAGAAGTGAAACATTGGGGCTTGGCTGGCTACAGTAATCCTGCCCTTTGTTGAGTGTATTCAATTTCAGTAAAACTCTCATCAAATATGCAACCTCTTAAACTAATACCAAACTGAGTATTAAGAATAACATGATTGTTGACAGAACACTCAAAACTTGATCCGCTAAGGTGACTACCACATGTATCTATTTTTTAAACAACATGTAGTCCTGGTATAAGCCTGTCCAAAGAATTGCTTCACTTCATAAATGCTCTTAAATTATGTTATTGAGCAAAGAGAGGTCAAAGAAGAACAATGAGCGACAACATGAGCTGTGGGCTGTGAGTGATGTAACACTTTCATCTCATCGGCCCTCCCAGTGTGGATGATTAAAATACTGAAAGCTCCATTTCACAATCAATACACGCACCTCATCTGGCAATCTTTTTTCTTCCCATCTATGAGATACGGCTTTCATCGTTGTTTATCAAAGCCTTGTGCTTGATCACTTGCCAGAACAATCATATTTTTGAGAAGGAAACTCCACACACCCACTTCTTCCTTTCAAAATAAAAAGTTCAAAGCTTTCTTGTCTCCTATCTGTCCTTGTGGCGATATTATCATAAGCTCATTCATTCATAACAACAACAGAACAGTTCAACTACTATATGGCACGTTCCCAACCACATGGTGGACACATTTAATAAAAACTTAGGGAAATTAGATTTTTGTTACACTCATTTCTTGTGCTTGGGCTGCTCTTGTCCCACAAGGCTGATAAGATGTCCAATTATTTGGTAATTTAGTTCAGAGGAGCAGGAGCGAGTCCGATCTGCTCGAGTAAGCAGGAAAAGTAGCAGTGTACATCAGGGCCACTCTTTGAAGCCCTTTGCCTACCATTTGCCCTTATGACTGCTTTAATAGTCATATAGACACACCAGGGGCGCTTATTTAACAAAATTAGCTCTTGGATACCGTATTGTGCTTCACCAAGGCAGATGCAACATATAGAGTACAAAAGGGTAAAAGTACATAGAAGGTATCAGTCTCTGCAGGAAAGGCTTGGGGGTTGCTGAGGTTGAGGACCGGGGACTACGCGGTTTAAGCAAGGGCAAAAGCTGGACCTGAGGATGAGGGGAATGACTTTTTGGGAAGTTGAGGGGGGGGGAGGGGGGGGGCACTGCAGATTCAACCTGCAGAGACGGTATGAAGAGTCAGAGTAGCAGCTGGGAAGTGTTCATAGGAGGAGGCTGCAGAGAGAGATGGAGGGGCACAACATCTACGGTACATCTAGTGGTGCAGGATCCATCAGAGAGAGGAGGACAGGATGCCTGGAGGCTGGAGGAGGAGGGGGGGGGCACTTGGAGACAGGATGGGGGGGACCAGGGGAACAATGCCGGTAGTCTCACTCACGGAAGAACACATATTCAGTGTAGCTGGTCCAGATCTTGTCGTCCGTCTGCTCATGGGCGAAGGCGCAGGTTCCTGTGGAGTTACAGGCCACCATGTGGAAGCCTACGTCGGCCAGCTTGTCGAAGGCCTGCTCCAGGAAGGTGAACTTGAGATAGTAGCGGGATGTGTATCGCTCTGGGGGGCGGTCAGGGTCACGGCTCTCGTTCAGGGTCTCCCCAAACACCTCTTTGGCCAGAGAGGTCTTTCCACATACCATGATCCTTGCCACCCGTCGGAATTTGGCATCGGTGTGGCTGTCGCGGCCCAGTGTGTATGAGCCTCGGTAGCCAATAGTGATGAACCCGGACCGTTTTCCATCCAGGGCGCTGGGCACCAGGCTGGCACAGGCAGCACCAGCCCCCCCCAGGGAGCCCAGGTTACGGGTCATTTCAATCCCAGGTGAGGAGTCCTCTGGGTCGCTCTGACACCCCTCTTCACCAAGGGAGTTCTGCTTGCTGATTTTGGGCGCCAGCAGCTTGACGAGCTCTGGCAGGTTGAAGAACTCGGCCTCCCTCTGCAGACGCCCCCGCTCCGGGAAGTGATCCGGAAGAACCAGCTGCTGGTCCCGCATGAAGTCCAGGATGTACCGGAACAGGAAACCATCACGGTCCACAAAGAAGCGGCCCTTGGTGTCTCTGGCCAGTCCTTTGACCGACTTTCGACTGAACATCTCCCATAGCAGAGAGTCTGGCACACTTGTGAGGGTAGAATAGCGGGTTATGTACACCTGGCCGCCAACATTTAGCTCTATAATCTCTGGGAAGGGGACCTCCTCACCAGATATACCTCCATCTGGTAGAGCCATGGCTTACTCCTGTCTCACGGGTGCAGCTTTAAAAAACAGTTTCAGTTGTGGTGAAAGTTCAAATGACAGGAGATGAAAAAGGGTTTTCAGTGGGACCCTTCACAGTGTCTGCTGACGCCTGTCAAAGCTTCAGGTCCTGCTGCGGTGGATCCACCAACGGAGCGGCTAATCTGCAGAGCACAATGGGAATGTGCGCAATAAAAGCTGGTGGCTACTCTCACATAAGAGCTTGCAGAAACAAAGCAGTCTCACAAGCACACGCTCTATTCTAACTACAGCTTTCTACCACTATTCCTAAAACATAGTGCAGCGTATTTCAGGTAGCGCTGAATGGAGCCGTGTTGTCCTTTACGCGCAAATAGATGTGGTAAACAGAGATTGAAATTCCGCTTCTGACACCCGTTTTACGAGCAGGAAATGCACGAGTTGCACAATTGTCCATAACGATCTCTTTTGCTCTAATTTCGCTCGGTTGTCCTGGCGCACACAGGATCAGGTGGCCCAACTTCAATTAGGCAAGATTCCATAGTTGGTGATTTCTGTGGGTGTCCCGCAGATGAAGAGCCACGCGATGAAGAGGATGGTGCCAAAGTAGTGTGAGGTGAGGAACACTCATAAAAAGATCTCAGCTGTTCAGGCCCTCTGCTCCTCTCTCGTGTCAGACGGTACTCTGCTGCAACGTAAAGGAGGATACAGCGTTATTCACTCCGGTAGCCACGCCCACATGTGGTGACGCGCCTCTGCTGTGACACAAAATATCCTACTCATTTAAATGTGTGAACATTTCACATTCACAATAAGAAATAGTGCCCATTTTTTTACTTAGAATTACAACAATATGACACCACTGTTAAAAACATTAAAAATTAGAAGACAATCAAAACCAATACCAAATACCAATGTGTATTTGATAAATATTTTACTTGAAATGTTACCTTTTGTTTTTATCACTATTTTCTTTATATTTATTTCTTTATTTCTTTATATTTTTTTGATATTTTTTACCTTTGTACCTCTGATGTCAATATGTTGTGTGTATATAATGTTTGATGTACATATATATGTATATATCCTCCTGTCCTACCAGACATGGTACTTTACAAATTCTTCTTGTGGGGTGAGTGGGCGAAAAAGTCTGGAAATACGCCCTTAAAGATTCATTGAAATAGCTGCCTCGGATAAACATACACAGAAATCTATTTAAAATAACCCTAATTTTTTCGATTTTTTCTCCCTGTAATTAATACATTCAATTATTAAATAAAACCATAAATTGGAGTATACCAATAACATCCATTCATGCATTTGTTATGTCATTGTGCTCACTAGCTATTTCGGCTAAATAAACATTGAAATACTTTTTTTTGTTTAAATATTAATCTAATTCTATTCTGGGAGTCTCATTGAAACCCAGCCACTGACTTATAAATGAGTATGCATTTATTTTTGATGCACTTATTTTTTGAAACAATCTCAGTTATCAGTGAAGCCAGTGTCTCTTAAGGAAGGATGGGATAACAGTGACATCTAGTGAATACTCAGGAGGAAATGTTTCCCCTTTCAGAACATGGATAACTATTGAGATATGATTTACTGCTGAGCATCTGGAGGTGTTGTGGGCCTATCAGTGAAACATCGAGGAAAGAAGGGGGCGCCCACTTGATAACTCTAAGGATGTCTTCACTCACCTGGCCATCCTGCGTCCAGGCAGCAGCACATCTAAAGAATGAAATCAAGGGTTATTCACACCGTGTCCAACATAATAGATCGGACTTGATTCTAATCAGAAATATTAAGGGTTGTGGTATTCTACGTTAGTTGTTATTCCAGTAAGAGCCTCCCTCCACTCAAAATGTGATTTGCAAAATGCTACTGGAATTGGGTGTTTGACCTTTACGGTGCAGATTGAAGCATGTGCATGCTGTTTTCACACTCATCTGCTGAAGGGGAAACATTTCTCTGGGCTCACCTTTAAATCAGTATTAAATGTATAGAGAGCATTTCTTATGGCATCAGAACTGGGTTCCAGACATGAAACCTAAGAATGGACCTTCAGTAAATTGAAGATATTGTGTGTTCAGCAGTTGTAAAATGTACATATTATTCAGAATGGTTTTATGGCAAAGGAGTTAAAATTGTTACCATAATATATTTTCATCTTGCTTTTAACAATTTCTTTTTCAAAAGGTAAAGACTTTAAAGAATTTACCTTTAATTTACCTGTGGTCAAACTGAAGAAGTTACTTGACAAAACAATCCCAACGCAGGTCCACTTATATATCACACATCCTACATGAGTGGATGATATATTGGCCCTGTTGTCAAGGAGATGGTCCTGTTGACGTCAGTAGCTGTTATGATTCTTGGAGAAAAAAAAATCTGATTTAAACATGAGAAAGTTAATGTTTCACCTTTGAAAAAGCAGTTTGAAAAAAAAAATTCAAACCCAAGGTCCACTAACTGTCTGTTAGAAATATGTTTTTCAGATAGAGGCACATCAGATGACACACCATTACTGAGTCAGAGAGACCTGCATACTCAACAGGCTGCCTACCATCTCTACTCTATGTCTCTCTCTTGTAAGTCCACCATTCAGTCCTTTCTGCGACTAATCAGCAGGCCAATTTCTACCCATCTCCGAGCACTCTGGCACTGATTTCCCTGAAGGCCTCGCAGTCTCCAGCTGGCTTGCAGCACTTTCAGCCTTGTCGGCGACAATCTGGCTCGGTCCACTCTGGTTATGTGGGCTACCGCAGGATCTGGAGGTACATTATGGCAGTGCTGTCTGCCAATGGGATGAGTTCAATACAGTCTCCAGCTCCATTTGCTGCTCCCTCTACTGAAATATGCTGTTTAACACCAAAGTCCAAAACAAAAATACCCAAAATATGATCTGAGGCAAAACTGTTACAACATTTTTTTGAATTATTGCCGACTATTTACTAATGCCAGTGATTGAAGAATTAAGTGACTGGACTATTTGTGAATTAATTATCACGTTTGCACACCTTGACTCTAAATTCAAAGAGAGAGTAGTTCAGCACGGTCAGATGGGAAATGGGCAAATGTACTTACTGCCGTTGCTTAATTATGTGTATTCAGAGCAACACACCCCCAACACATACTAACGCTAAACTCCTGGATGATGCAGTGAGAAAGAAACGGTTACTTAGGGACCATTTTATGGATATGTCTGCATATTGATCTCTGCGTTCTCAGCGGTTTCTGTTGACAGCTGCACCATTAAGTGATTTATGAGATGTTTTGTGGGATCAACAGAAAATGAACCGGCTGGTGCATCTTTCAGGTGTATGTGAACCCATCTGCACAGCCTCATTTCCCTCAGCATGAAGCATCGTACATCTTTCAAGACGGGTGACATGGGAGCGAAACACGACTGCAACACACGTCTTGGTGCGTAGAAAGAGTCAAATCTCCTGGGAGTCTCTGTGTGGAGGGAAGAGAGGAAGTTGTTTATATTATAATGAGTCACAGTTGATAGAAAGATTACATGGAGACACCTGCACAAACTTTTTAAATCACTTTACTGCACTTTCTTCCTGATTCAGTCACTGCTCTTCCTCTCTCTCATGGTCACTCCAATCCCACATCATTTCATCAATCTGTCTGTTTCCTCCTTCGCCAAGGCCACTCGCAAACTCATCATGTTATCCCTCTGCATTATAAAATTTGTACAACCTTCACAACTATTGTTCGACATTCATCAACATCCCTCTTACTTGCCTTCTTTGCAACTACCATTTCTGAAGTTAGTTATAATCAGAAGTGATCTGATCACAGACCACACATTCATTTGAAGACAACATTATCTTTTTTTCACGGAAGACATTATAACATTTGACACTAAAAAAGCTCAGGTGTAAATGACACAATTAAGGTCAACTGAATTACATTTACCTGCTTAAGTTTCTGCGTGCTGGTATTGTTTTTCCAATTTGTTAGTAACAACTGGGCTTTTCTTACACACACATGACATCAACACACAGATTCATAAGTGGATCTATAACAGAACTAGTCCGACAACAGGCTGGGATTTACTTATGATGCAGCATTGATAATGGTATACATTTCCAGCTGGTTATCTGCTGTTTTAGCTATTTGCAAAGATCTGTTTACTCTTCAACACACCTGAATGCCTTCAACTTGTACTGTATGTTTTCTATCTACTTCTTGAGCTTGGCGACCCTCTTAACACTGTAGAATTGCATCACTGCAATTCGGGAAAATAGTTGAAATCAAAGGGTAAAACTTCAGGTCGGCAGCTCTCACATTTTGTATCAACTTGATTTCGTCAGCTGAACTTGAAAACTACGGTGTGCCGGGATGGTGTCAAGATTTTGCAGTGCAGCTCACACATAAATCATATCTATGCACAGATGTGTCAGAGGATGAGCTGGTGATCCAGTGAAATTTCAAATTCCCTTTATACTAACCAGTAAATTGCTTGTTGGCCTCTGGCACCGCAGTTACCGAGGCTTACTGGCTTATTTCATCACTTCTCAATAGTTGACTACATTTGTAAAATCAAATAAATGTGTGGTGCTGAATATATATCCTTTATTTAACCAGGTAAAAGACTCATTGAGATTAAAATCTCTTTTCCAAGAGTGACCTGGCCAAGAAGGGCAGCATGAACGAAGTTACAACAGATAAAACACAGACAAGACAGGCAGACAAATACAGCTGTAAAACACAAATAAAATGGCACATTAGCCAGTCAATATGCAAAATAAAACAAACTATTAAAAATCATTAAAAACTGGCAAAATTTAAAACGATTTTTGGATATATGAGCACTCACATCTACCAATGGTGTCGTGTTCTCTGTCCTTTAGGATGGACCTGAATTCCCCCATAGTGATTACATCTGAGTTTCAGCTCCTTCTGTACATTATTCCAAGCTGTGGGGGCAGCATATTTAAAAGCTGTTTTACCCAGTTTTGTTCTCACTGTAGGAACCAGCATCTGAATACAATCTTGGGAGCGCAGGCCATATAGACTTTCTCTTTGACACATATATGTGCAAATGTAGGAGGGAACCAACCCAAGCAGATTTATAAATAAAACCCAACCAATGGGAAAGTCTGCGAGCAGACAAAGATGGCCAATTAGCAGCAGCATATAAAGTGCAATGGTGTACTCGATATCCACATCCAGTAATAAATCGTAAGGCACAATGGTACACAGTATCCAAGCTCTTTAGGCACTGGTCAGAGGCATTCATGTATAGCAGATCACCATAATCTAATACAGGTAAAAACGTTGCAGATATTAAATGTTTCCTTGTCTGAAAAGAGAAACAGGATTTATTTCTGTAAAAGAAACCTAATTTTATTTTTAGCTTTGAAACAACAAAGCTGTTGAACTGAGAGCAACAACTGAAACCACAGACACTCATTAGAGGTTTTAAAATATACACAGACATTAAAGCAGGTTTCAAGTTCCAAAACAGGATGATAGAGTGATGGTTGCCTTGCTTTCATCTGCCCCCAAACATTATTGTCAGTCAAGGTAGAAATATGTCAAAACGAAAATCCTGCTTTCTGTCCTCGTTGAATAAAACCTGTAAATCAGGGGATGAAAAAAGGATGCATGGAACAATTTCATCTGTTTGATGTTAGTCGCTCATTTAAATTCAAGAAGTG